GTTAATCCTGATAAGGAAAATTATTTAGTCCTTGAAGATTTAACTTGAGAATTAGAAGAACTCTATAATGTTATAACAGAAGGCTCAATCATGCGCTATAAAGTGATATGGTATGAGAAAGGTGAGAAAAACAATTTTCTGAGTCTAGAGAGAGCAAACACGAAAAGATCTACTATTAAACAGCTGAGAACAAGTGAATTTACAGAGATTAGCCAAGAACAGGACATTTTGAAAGAAATTAAATCATTTGATACAAATTTGTACAGACAAGAAAATCTTAATAGACAGGAAATTGAAAGGTTTCTGCAAAATCTGGAAATTCCTAGGCTGTCAGATCACAAGAAATATGTGAAAGAAAATTGGGGACAGGAGAGGTATTAAATATTTTACCACTTATGAAAGAAAATAAAAGTCCTGGAAATGACGGTTGAATTTTATAAGGCTTTCTAGCCTATGGTTGGGAAACTAGTTGTTGATTAACTTAACTATGCGTTTGACAAGGGCGAGTCCCAAAAACAAAGTATGATAACCCTAATTGAAAAGTCTGGTCGGGATAAATTATATCTGAAGAATTGGCGCCACATTTCCCTAATGAACGTAGACATCAAAATGGCTTCCAAGTGTCTTGCGAAACGTTTTGAACAAGTAATACCCCAGTTAAAGGTCCAACACAGGCAGACTTTGTTAAAGGACGTAATATAAATGATTATGTCAGATTGATAGATGAGATATACCATTATACAAGAGAAGCCAATCTGGGAAGTATCCTACTGGCAATATACTTTGAAAAGGCATTTGACACTGTAAATTGTACAGTAATATTAAAGGGTGCGTAATGAACAATGGGTTCAGTACAGGCTATTTTGAATTGAGAAGGGGAGTGAGACGAGGTGATCCCTTGTCTCCAATGTTATTTGTGTTAGTTTTAGAACCTTTATTGCTAGCAATAAAAAAAAGCAATGATATATCCGGAATTAAAAATGAGAAACCGAAATAAGAGCTGCAGCATTTGTTGATGATATGACGTGTTTTGTATCAAATGTGGAATCTGCTGGCGCACTGTTCGTCTTGCTTAATATATTTAGATCTTGTTCAGGGCTGAAAATAAATAAAGAATCGAAGAAAGCTTAGAAAGAACTCCTGTGTGCTGAGAGTATTGAAGACACATTAAAAATGAATTCAAAATTACTTGTACCTGAGATATTGATGGAAAAACTGAAAACTAATTATGTAAATCAGGTAACTAATATGAACAGAACAGAACAAAAAATTATGAATTATTATGCTAATTAGAGAAATAACATGAACAAATTTTAACCCAAAATTAATCACGCCTGTCTATTGTCCCAGAGCATTTATGTACCAAATTGTATTCAAATGTGATTATCAGTAATTGAGATATCAGTGTTAATTAATTATGTTAATTAGGTGATTAATAAGCATAAATATTTATCAAAAACTAATTGGGTTTCTGCATAGTTCAGATTCATTGAAATGTGATGATGAGTACTCTTTAAAAGTTTCATTAAAATCCAATTCGTGGTTCTTTATATATCAGTGGAACATTCATAGAAACAATTAACTAATTATGCAAATTAGGTAATTAATATCTACAATTATTTACCCTAAAACTAACCAGGTCTCAGCATAGTCCTAGAAGATCTATGTAGCAAGTCTCTTTGAAATATGATGATTAGTACTTGAGGCAAAAAGCTGAAAATTAACTAATTACAGTGTTCTCCCCAGGATCAGAGGTAAGCACGGCGGACTAATTTGCATACAAATTTGCATATTTTGCATACTAATTTGCATATTTTATTCACTCTTACAAAAACAAACATACAAGACAGTAGTAAAATGTACGAGACTTTATTTACATTACATAATATACCATAATTTAAGCATTTCATAGCCCCTTCTATAGCTAATCGGTGCATGCTGACTTGGACCGTAAATACTTGATCCACTGGTACATTCTCCTTGGCCTCTAACTTCAACTTCTCTACTCTTGTGTGTAAATCCGACTTGGAATGCGACATAACACTGTCCTTTCTCATAGACGTGCACGGAATTTTGTTCCATACAGAAGACCCACTCTGTGCAATCATGTTGTGCTTTGAGCATAAACTGCACAACATTCCTAGTGGGAAAAATGAAAAATAAAAAAACACACAATGAGGAT